TATATATATACAAATTCTTTTTTTTTTTAAATAGTTGTAGGGACTTTCATTCACTACACCTTTGGTGACTGAATTAATTTTGACTTGTTCTCATTGTAAGCAAATGAAACAGAATGCTCATCCGAATGAAATAATTGGTATTGTTTTTTAATTACTTGAAAAGTCATAACTTGTTCATTATCCACAAACCAAATCAACAAACAAAAATGCCCAAGTATCAAACGCGCTTATCAAAAATTGTTCACTTGACCCAATCACTGACACGTGTCCACCCGAGGAATGATAATCCGCACAAAATTGGACTCTCAAAACGTGGATCCAGATGGAATTTGGACAAAAAGAGTTTCTTAACAAAAATGTCATAAAAAGAAAACCCAAAACGCATATGATACAAACCGAGACTGCAATTACAAACAATGACAAATACCCTCCAATGGACGCCTCCCGGCAGATTATCTAGTTTTGACGGATGGGAGGAGTGCAAAACACACAAGTGGAATGGGGAGGATTAGGAGGTGGCGTAGCTCAGGGGTTTAACTGCTCAACATGAATACCTGAATCCTTTGATGTGGGCCAGTGGCAACTGCTTCGCGGAGCTCGTCGAACGCAGACTCCTGCCTGGTTGTCCTTGGCTGGCCAGCACTTTCAAGAACCTATCTGAGTCCAGATTCCATGGTCAAATTATTCTGTCATGGGGCTGGAATAATTGCGGCAGAAGTGGACTCTCATAACTTGGACTCCAGTCGACCAAAGGCATTAATCTATTTTCCTAACTTTTTGATGCCTATCTTGCATTGCAAATGCATGTTATGCCAATAATTTGTGTATTTGGGGTCGACTGGTTAGTGCGTCGGCCGCATAGTGCAATGGTCAATTCTGGCTCAAGCCTCCCCGTGTGGAGTTTGCATGTTCTCCCAGTGCCTGCGTGGGTTTTCTCCAAATACTCTGGTTTCCTCCCACATTCCAAAAACATGCATCGCAGGCTGATTGAACACTCTAATAGTCTAAATTGTCCCTAGGTGTGAGTGTGAGCACGGATGGTTGTTCGTCTCTATGTGCCCTGCGATCGGCTGGTAACCGCTTCAGGGTTTACACCGCCTACTATCCGAAGACAGCCTGGAAAAGCTTCAGCATCCACCGTGACCCTTGTGAGGATAAAGCGGATCGGAAAATGAATGGATGGATGAGTTGAACAGTTGTAGTTGTGTTGTGATTGAAAACAGAGCACTTGCGTGGCGAGGCTGCAACAACTGCTTTGTATTTCAAACTTCGAGGAGAAAGAATGTAGTTGCGAGGGTGTTGCTTTATCGTTGTGAGTAAGTGAATGCCTGACATAATGGATGGGCGTGGGGTGCGTGTACAGCAAGGGTGTGTGTGTGTGTGTGGGAGGGGGACAGTCTAATGGTGATTCACATATAACTACTAAGCATGGATATCTTTTGTGTAAGCTGTGCAAAAAAAAAAAAAAATCCACATTCAGCATTTGGTGGTACAAAAATATAAAGATGTAATTGAATGGATTGTATTACTAATATCTTGTATTGAAACAACAGTTGAGGATTTTGAAGTTCAGCAGTGGTTCATTTTAGCCTTAAATAAGATCAGAAATAGAACAGGCACTCAGTAATTTATGGACAGTGGCTCCCCGCACATTCGTTTGTCACTCGTGAATTCACCTATTCCGGATTTTGAAAACATATTACACACACACACACACACACACACACACACACACACACACACACACACACACACACACACACAGTCTAATGGTGATTCAGATATAACTACTAAGCATGACCTTTTTTTTTTACGTGTCAACTATGAACCCGGACCTCTGACACTTTGAGACGGGCGTGCTAACCAGTCAACCACTGTGCCGCCCACTATGCAACTTTGTGAAGTTTAAATGCATTTGGTCATATAAATACACATCAAAAGTTTTGATGATCCTGCACTGTTTTTGCAATCCAGGTAATCCATAAGCAACATATCAGAATGACAGGGAGTCCACAAAGTCTGGGTACGTAGGAAATTGGAGAAGTCATCCCTCGTTCAGCACAACTTTCTCCCCTTGACTTCTTTTTCTGGGGGATGCTGAAAGAAAAAGTGTACTCAATAAAAATGACAAATTTAAACCACATTAGAAAACGCATTATCAGTGTGCTGAAATTAACAGCATTGCAGACCAATGACATTGAGTTCACCTGAATTTTGCAAAGCACATCAAATTATGCATTGACAATCTTCAACATCTCATTGAATATATTATTTATCAACATTCCAATTGAATAAAATTTGTTTAGAATGTGTGTGCGTGTTTTTGTCAACAAGTGTGCTGCAACCTGGGGTGATTGGGCCACCTGGTTGCAAATGAGGAAATGAAACATCTTAAAACGACAGCCTACTCACACTTACTGGAAGGAATCACAACACAACCACTCCTCAGAGTTAATTTAGTAGTTTAATTCATATTGCACCTTTAAAAACGTGTTAAAATGAGCTTTGACAGAAGAAGAGCAACAGAAAACGAATAATGACAAGAAAGAAAGAAGAGAACCTGACACAGCCAAGTGAGACCAAGAAGGCTGATTGGGGATGTTATGTTTTGGTTCTGTGCAGTTTAATTTTTTTTCCATATAAGTCACGTTGGTAACAACTGGAGGATGGATCCTGCGATCACACCTCTGTGGCCGATTTGTATGGCAGCGGCAGAGAGGAAACGTGGCATGAGTGCTTCGTTTTGCTACTCGCTTTCTTCAACGAAGATTTTTCTTATCTCCTGAACTGTTATTTACTAGTGGTACGCGATCCTGACTATATTGGTATCGATCTGGTACCGATCCGCGGTACCGATAGCTTACAATAATCAAGGTACCGTAATTTCCAGACATTAAGATGCGATTTTTGTCACAGGTTTTCAACTCTGTGTGAGAATATGACGATTTTTCTAATGGCCGCCAGGGAGCGCTCAAGCAGAAAAAGGTAAGCGTTAGACAAGTTGATAAACTGGATACGTGTCGAGGCAGACTCTTTCATCTGTCACACACTGAAGACAACCGGCCATGATAGGGCGCATTTGACCATAGATAGAGCTTCAAACGCTGTCTGTGCACGCTACACTGGCCCCAGCGTGGTGGTGCGTCTACGTCGCGATGGTTATTTATGCTGCATTTACCGAACAGAGGAACCCAGAAAGATCCCACTTTAAAGCCTTCAAGACTAATGTAATTAACAAAGTTGGTTTATTACAACACATTTTGGCGTCCATCAAACCTTCTTCATAATTTCCCCAATTTATATGAAGAAAGGAATATTTTATCTTGAAAGCATGTCATTCATTTCATCATAAATTCATGCAGGGAGATAACGACATTACTGTACTTCACACAGTCAACACACACCATTTTGTGTGACGTGAAGTTCTTTTTAATCACTTAATGTATGTAATAATAAATCAATAAAATTCAATATATGTTTATAATCTTAGAAATTGTGTTTTGCCATTCACACTCTATGCCACATTAAAATTGGGGTCTTTTTTCCGCATTCGCAACTCGGACCTCCCAGTTCAAATAGGCTTCTGGTGCAGTTTTCCTCGTCAAGTGTCGGATCATTCCGATTTCCGACATTCCTCGAATGCAGCATTATCACTCTCAGGTGGTTTGTCGCAACCACGCTAGTCAAGCCAATTTAGTATTGTGAAGAGTACACTGCTGATCATATTTTACTTTAATGAAATCTCACTTGAAACAAAACATAACCCGAAATTTATCGTGACAGCAAATTACCAATAAACCAAAAGGACGATTCATATTTCCGTCACTGATGACGTCATCATTAGTTGCCATCACCATGAAGTGAAAACAGTGGCGTTGAGTTGAAGTAAACAAATTGAGTCAAACACGTTTGCCTGAAAGAGTTTTTGATTTTTTTTTCCGTCAGTGTCAAAGACACTCTCCACATCGGACGGTCTATTTGTATTCCGTGGTACCTTCCATGTTTTCCAATAGAGTCGAATAAGACAGAGAACACGACAAATGGATAGTCTCCGGGTGCTTGAGCTTTACAGTGGAATAGGTGGAATGCACTATTCTCTAAAACGTAAGTACTGAATATTATTGCCTTCTTCATCGCCTTGCCCCTGCCTTTCATTCGACAATCGCCCATGACGACCTGCTGCAAACGGAGGAGGAATTATAGGAGTCGGCCGAGTACTAGGAAAAAAAAATGTGGTAACTTCAGGGCGACAGAGACACTTAGCCATTCTCCACATGCACAAAATCAAGCCATCGGCAACAGCAATTGGTAATACAGTACTGTTCATGACGGTAATCATGAAGCGTTGGCCGCCTTCAAAATAAAAACTGTACAACAAATGCGTACACATCAGTGGTTTGGGATACAAATAAAGTTATAAAATAACTCATCTGCTGTTCGGAAACCATTAGTTAAGCCAGGGGGAATGCAAACAGTCCCAGAATCGCACCAAGAAACCTTACATTGAGATAGAAACAGGTGGTCATCTGCATCAAATTACACCTGAGTATAAAAATGAATGAAAATCCACTTTTCGTTGTCCTGCAATCAAACCGGAGCTAGGGCACACTAGGCCACACCAAGTATCCAACAAAAATATTTTCATTAAGATATGATGTTGCATTTCAAAATAAAAGCTCTCTCTGGAATCTGCAATTTTAGGCCACCCCAGTTATCCAATCACACTACTTTCATGAGTATCTGATGTTGCATTTCAAAATGAAAGGCCTCTGAAATCTGTAATTTTGACCTTTTCACCTGAAAAACAAAAGAAAAAAATTTCAATTTCTGTTATCCTGCAACCAGACCAGGTTTATTAGTCAATGCTAAGCCTGTTGCATGGCTGAATAACCCACAAGACTAAGCGGGTAAACCAGCAGTCAACCTGGTTTTCCCAGCAAGTGCTGGGTTTTGTTCTGGCCCTTGTTTTTGTTTGTTTATTGTTGTTCGGGAAATTTTCTGAATTCCAGAAAGAGAGGGGCGAAATTTAGCATATTGCTGTCTGCCATATTGCTATACAATGGTATTGCAGTGCTGCAAATGACATGTTAAGTGAATGCACGTGCTAAAGATCATTGGCACACAAGTCATTATACTCACATTATTGGAGACGACACCGTTGAAAGCCACTGTCTTTGCCTTGGGTCAGCTCACTGAATTTTATCCGATTGTGATGTAACAGTGCACTTAAATTTACAGATTGTGCCTTGGCAGTTAAACTGAGTAAATTTCCCACTTGTCCTTGTGTCACCTTTGTACACCAGTTTTGTTAACAGATATTTTCACCTTTGTACACCATGGTTTTGTTTACAGATATTTTTTATTTCTCCAGAGTCTGGAATATCTGCCCATGTAGTAGCGGCCATAGACATAAACACAACTGCCAATCAGGTCTACAGACACAATTTTCCCGACACACCGCTCTGGAACAGAACCATCGAGGTAGGTCGCATTCAAAGAATTACAACATGATGTTTACAAATATGATTCTGTTCACCTTAAGCCTTGCTTTACTTTTTTTCTTAGGGCATATCACTTGATGACTTCAATAACTTGTGCTTTGACATGATTTTGATGAGTCCTCCTTGTCAACC